TTTGTGGTGCCATCTCTCGCACCCTCTCGAGAACGAAGCAGTTTTAAGCGACGCTATTTATACCATTATCTAGTTACATATAGACGTACAGCTGGTATAAATATCATTTAAATTTGTGACATCAACAATCACTGTCTGTCGGAATCTACCGGATAATGCCGTTTAACTTTCTCGCTGTGTCTGAAATAAGATTATAATACAGAACTAGTAAATAAGAGTATATCTTTTTTCGCTTATGCAAATATAGCTTTCTGTTCTCTTTTATTTCTTTTTTATCGACGCGTTGCGAAGAAAAAATGTGCGCATATGAGACATCTTATGTCGAAAGAGATATCTCATTCAATTATTATTTTTGCTCGATTTTTAATAACAAAAATAATCTTGCCTTTTTGTATGTTAGAAGCAGGGGGGTCTCAAATTCGGTGACGTACGGGAGACAGAACAAAGAATTGTCATAGTGATTCCCTTTGTTCTGTCTCTCATGAGTCACCGAGTTTGAGACCTCTGAATAGCTTCAGACCGATTATATATATTCCCTTTTATACGCGTATCTGAGCAACGTTTGTTGTCCCTTCCTTTCAAAATGGATATTTATACTGTGTACATACGTCACACATGTGTTCAACGAAACTATCTGTATTTTTTGTCGTTCACATTGAAACAAGCTAGTGCAGTCGTTGCATACATAGCACTTTTGAGTTTTTAACGCGTGAGGATCATTTTTCGCGGTTCATATCTGCCCTTTCGTAGCAGAATTACATCGAAAAGGTACTGCGATTCTCAGGGTATGCACACAGCAGTTTCAGACAAACTGTGGAAGTTGAGGGATATAAAATTTCTTTCCTCTCACAACTGTTTAGATGCTTCTAACAACTTTGAGCAAGACTCAGAACTGGTGTTCTTTCTCAGAATGTAGAAGAGAAATGCATCTGAATGTTGATGTTATCACAATAATGAGTATCCTCGGTGTAAACTCTGACTTCCAAGATCAGCTAGATCTTGTTTAACGCACAGATGATTGAGGGCAAGGCATTCCGTTCCGTAAACCAAGTAAAACTTGATGCATTCATTTATTATACAATGAAATAAATGGTTCAATATAATTCTTGTGACTTGGTCTTGTGAGAATAAGATCCCACTCCATGTCCTGCATTTAGCTGATTTTCAATCAAAGCTACGACAAGAATCAAAATTTGCGATTATTAAGCAGAGGCAAAACCGTCAAAATCCCTAAACACTTCTTTCAGATTTCTCAGCCATCCAAAGTTTAGAGACGTCAAACTTTAATCAAAGCTATTTGCTCTACAAACCAGCACCATTAAAGTCGTCTTTGATTACGACGTTTTACAGAAATATTGAAATTTTAGAAAAAACAGTTTTTTGGGTTTTTTAAAAAACTTTTGGCAAAAACCCTTCGATTCTAAAGGTCAATATTTTTGGCTATTCACGCATGTGTTTAGCCCATAAGGGAGCAACCCTAAGTGTTCGTCCCTGAGATTTTGACGAAAAGTATCGTAAATAGTAAAGTAAACCCTGCTGATCACGAATACAATGTTTTTAGTTGGTTTTTAATTGTCCAAAAATCACTATTTTCAATTGGCTATATTTTCTAACAGATGCATCACTGACATTGGTCCAATATACAGTTTTGTAGGAAATCTCTTCATCTACAATTTGGTATGTCTGATATTGCTATCTGACTTATCCTGTTTGAGAAAAACTGATTTTAGTATACATGTGTGCTGCGAAAGTACAACATTGTTTTTATGAACTTGTATTTCAGTGAACAAAAGAAACGTTGAATTTCTAATAAAGGCATTTTGTGCAAAAGTAAAACTACCTTCTTCTTGTACATCTAGTGTTAAATATAACATTAGCTATTTTTATCATTTTAGTTGAAGTTGATCCAATAGATGTAATTTTAATCAGAGAATTAGTGTGTAGATAATAGCTCCAATGGTAATAACTACTTAAAACCACTTGTTAGTTACACATGTATCCATTGCCCAGACAAAAAAGATATTCTTAACATTATTCTTTTTGTAACAAAAAGGGAGAGTTTTAAAGAGAAGTTCTAAGTTATATAGCATGAGGAAGATAGATACCAAAACAAAACAATGAATGAATTTTGGGGTCGTACTAAAAATGATACAAAAATTTCGAGATGAGGTTAAATTTGAAATTTTTATTTAATGAATTCGTGAATACCTAAAAACCAAAAAGTTACCCAGAATCTACTCCACCGTCAGTCCTGACTATAACTAATATGATGAAAACTTTTTCTCCAGTGTTGGATTTCTTTTCCAAATATGAAACACAGCTTACACCTCCGTTGACTTATCATGCCTAATCGTGTTCGTTTTGTCACTGTCAGATTTGGCGAGATTTATTACTTACTTTTAATCAGTATTGTCAGTTGCCTATTTGAAAAAAATTCTTTCCATATCACTCACAAAATTTTCCAACCAGTAGAGTTGTTAGTTTTCCATTCTGCGATGTGGACTTCCACTTGAAGTTTCCTATTTTTTTTAATATACTGGCATTAGTTTTCAGTAGTTGCGCTACTACTGTATAATGAACTATGTTTCATAGTTATTCTGTGTAAATCTATACGTTTAATCAACAATATTGATTTAATCAATTTTATTTTATTGAGCACATTCGAATATTCTGACATAATTTTAAACAAATAAGTAAAAGAGGGTAGATACTTGATAGATACTTGATAGTTAACTGTTTATTAGCGTTAAATATTCACACTAATTGAGTGTATACGAACTAATGTACATAAAAAAGCAATGCTTATTTTGTGTGCACAGCACACACACACACACCAAACAATTAACGTATAAAACTATCTGCGTCTGTTTTTACGTAAATAATGTCATTCACATGTTTAATATTCAGTATTTATTAGTGTTATTATTTTATCGTTCATGATGTTTTTATTTACCATTCTCATTTGTTGATTTTTCTGCAGCCTTATTACTAAAAATAAGCATATAAAATGAATTCTTCGATGATATTCTATTCCACTTACCCATGACATGTTGAATCAATACCAGCATTCACATTTGTACCATTGCTATGTTCATTTTTAGCTTGAGATAAATGTCTATCTAGCGGTTGTTGAGCATTTCGTTGAGATGTTTGGTCGTCTTGTTGTAGACCTTGAGATGTTCGGTCGTCTTGTTGTAGACGTTGAGCCTGTTGTTCTTGAGTATCAGACATCTTTTTACTGTTTAAAAATGTTATATGACGCTAACAAATGTTTATTTAGTAAATATGATAAAAAGAAGCAAATGGAAAAAATGTTGTTCTATGCTTGTTGCAGAACAGAAAGAATTGTTGTATATATGAAAAATGACTAGAACAAAAAATGGTCTATAGTACTTATATGTGCATGAATGGAAGTAGGGACATATTTTTTAATAGTTAAAATGAGTGGGATATATGCGTAATTTTATAGAATGAGAGAAAGAAAAAAAAAAATAGTTGGTTTAATCACGTTCATTTTAATCATTCTGGCGTTATTCGTCCGCCAAATTAATCCTTATTGTCGTAGTACTGTGGGATCTGCCAATTGATGACGCATACAATGGAACACATATACGCGCCATCTCTTTTTTGATGCGTGAGACTCAAATTCATTGGATGGAAATTTCAATTATAAGCCGAAATAATGAAATATTCTGTTTAAAGTGATCAAATTTTTCGAACAATTAGTCTTTAATGAGAAAGATCGCTGATGGCGCTACCGCATGCCACTTTTTAAGGTACTCAACAACGGCATCATCGATTTCTCATGTTTATCCTTGAGATCTGACTGTTTTTGAATAATCCTTTTAATATTTTCTGATCATATCCGAGCTTTCTATTCAATGAATTTGAGTCTCACACATTTGAGGTTGATTACACGTTTTCATGCAGCTGAATTCTGTCAATTCGCACAGTATCGGTCTTGTTTATAAAATTGTGTTCTGTTGACAAAGAAAATTAACAGGAGAGAACCTTATATACCATACGACTTGAATGACAACACACAAACATCTGTCAGTTTTATAGATGACGTTCTACGAAAAAGAGAAAATGGTATACGAAAAAAGTTGAACGACGCGGATGTAGCACTATGGCGGTCCGACGACCGTCGCCAACTCGCAAATGAAATTCTAATGCAAGTACACTGCCAGACTTCCTTAGAAAAAATACTCATACTACCTTGGACGACATCGTTTAGATATCGCCACTCCGTCGGTAGAAAACTGGATTCGCCACTGCGGGTATGCAGCTAAATTAGTCTACGATAGATAATAGAACTTTAGCGTATAGCACTTTATCTTCTTTTTAATGTGACCGACTCCCTTAATCTAGACTTATATCGAGGAGAGAAAATCTCACTCTGAGTGACTAAGGCAAATGCGAAAAATACTCAAGATGCATGTAGCAATGGCATCTCTTCGCTACAATACTGTATTTAAAAACCTTCGAAAAAACATTTATGTTCTTTTGATTCAGACAAAGATTTTTCTTTCGCCTTGACACATTATAATATACGACTCATGAGGGAACCTTTCGAGGTGATTAAACGCTTTTTGCTCGGAATCTAGTGAGTTATAGGTTATCGATCATGCTGATTACGAATATGACCATGGAGGATGCCCTTAGCCCTTCGAAGACCTGGTTTTCTAGAAAATCAGTTTTTCAAAAACCCGAAAATATAATCCGAACCTTTCTTAATGAGGCACGATTGTAGCCCGCAAATTTTTGATTAAAATAAGGCCTCTCTCAACTCTACATGACCTTTCTTTGCAAAGTTATAGAATTTACAAGAAAAGCCCTAATGTTCATTGTCAGCTCAAAGCTACAGAAATAAGAAATTAATTTAGGGCTTTTCTTGTAAATTCTATAACTTTGCGAAGAAAGGTCGTGTAGAGCCGAGAGATGTCTCATTTTAATCAAAACTTTGCGGGCTACAATCATGCCTCATTAAAAAAGGTTCGGATTATATTTTCGGGTTTTTGAAAAACTGGTTTCCTAGAAAACCATGTCTTCGAAGGGCTAAGGGCAACCTCCATGATCATATTCGTAATCAACATGATCGGTAACCTATAACCCACTAGATTCCGAGCAAAAAGCGTTTAATCACCTTGAAAGGTTTCCCTCGTCAGTAGGTTGATTGAAACTAAAACGGATTTTAGACATCCTAACACCGCCACTAACGCAAAAGAAAACAAAAATTCATTTATTAAAAGCGCATTGAGAAAGGCTGAAAACAGATTACAAAATAGAATAATAAAGAAAATGATTGCACGGTTATAAGGAATAAAAATAAGTAATAATCACCGAGATGATAAAAAACTTAATCAAATGAAATTAAAGTTAGTTCTGATGATGAATTTTTGTTCGCTGATGCTTGATTATTACTGTCAAATGTGGATAATGGTTGCTGCTGGGTACCATTCATTTGATGAAACTGTGATGCAGAAGATATTCGTGCAGACGGCACGTGCATTGTATTAGATACCATTGTTGGAATCACGTTGGAATTATCTAAATATACATAATGACATTTTAAGAACATTTAACAAAGATGAAAAGTTGCTAAACAAATATCCAAGTAAAGCTAAAATGGTGCTTCTTTCTTGGTTAAAACAAGCGGGGCTCCTCCATAAGAAAAGCGATAAAACGTACTATCAGTTGGAGCTACATAAGAGTTTAATGCTTGTTGTGCGTTAATTTGATGATGCTGTTGTGATGATACTTGATATTCATATAGTGGCATTGATGGCAAATGAGACTGAGAATAAACTGGATATTGTGTCTGAGGCGGTATAGTTGGATCATACATCGGCATTAGCACAGGATTTTGATAATTATTAAATTGCTGATGCGATTGTATTCCTGTTGATAAGTGTTGTGCTCCATAATCATACGGCGCCGTTGTTAATGTCTATAAAAACAAAATGACTTTGACACTTCCGATTTCCTTCATGCAGAACAGAATCTAAACGTACTTGACCGGATGCAACTAAACGTGAGTTCTGTGATTGTTGTTCTCGTGCTAGTATCAACTGACGTTGTTGTTCTAAGCGCACTTGCATTTCTCGTTCTTGTTCAGCCAAACGTTGTAAATGTAGTTGTCGTTGATATTCGAGATACTCCTTAAAAAGCAAGGATTAGTTTTGTACATAGATATCTATTTATCTATCTAAAGTGTTTACTTGTTTCTTTTGTCTCATTATATCTAATTTATGTGCTAATTGCATTTGTCGTTGACGTTCACGTTCCATTGCTTCACGTTGCTTCCGCTCATAATGTTCCAAGCGTAAAGCATTCAGAGCTTCACGGGCATCTTTCAATTGATTTAATTTATCTTGCAAATGTTCATAATAACCTAAGAAAGTAGAGTCTTGTGTTTGAATCTTATAATACATCAGAAAAAAAGTGAAGTTAGTTGCGTTAAGAAACTAGGATAGATCGGACTGGAGCCCTCAAATATAAAAAGCGACTTGGAATGAAAAAAGAATTCCGAAGTCCGTTTTTTCAACGTTTTTCGAACTCAAAGCCCATATGAACCGAAAGAAAAAAATGTTGAAAAGATAATCTCATCCAAGAAAAAACATAAACTAATTCAACCTGGAACGCAAAATCTGCAGTTTGAATCTGAACTTAGACTCGCTCAACTCTACCAAAAAATATCATGATCCATCACTATTCCCTCATCTCGACAGGTTATCTCTCTAGATTTTATCGTTCACTGTGAATGATAGATAGCTAAGTCGTGTATAATTCTTGAATTTGTTCTCATACCTCGTTTATTCTCTAGTAATTGCATAAAGCGACTTAATTCTGGATGAAAATGTTGTAATATAAGAAATACTGATTGAACTGCTGTATCATTTGATATGTTTCTGCTACGCTGTTGATTACTTAACATTCGAAATTTAAAGTTATTGATATGTTGCTAAAGGAGAAATGTTCTGTATGTCGTATACAAGTGAAATGATTTGTTAGTTTACCGTAACCAAATCGACAAAACCATCGATTTCGTTGTTACTAACAAAATGATCAGTTGAATCCTATTAAAGAAAAAAAGAAAGAAATAGATACAGGTTGTTTTACATTAATTTGCCCAAAACGTTAGTCTTACAGACAGATTTGTTGTTGCCTTATCATGCTCGTTTGGAAATCTATCATGCAGTGAAGATGTTCTCGTTGCTGAGATGGTAGATGTCGATGATACGGGTGGATTACCAGTAATAGTTGCATTCGATTCTACTAAATTGTTTGTCTGCTGTTTTTGTTCCCAATAAGATCGTTCTAAATATTTTGATAATTCCCCACCAGCAAACTGATCTGTTTCATCGGAGTTATACTAAAGTATAGTAAAACAAATCTATTATAACAGTGTAACTCGTATTAAATAAATCAAGCTTTTCTCACTTGTCGTGCAACAGGAACCGAAACCGTTGCTGTCAATGGTGTGGATATTGATGTATTGTTATCCACCGTTGCTAAGGCGTATTTCTGGGTTAACATTTTCTTTTGTCGTTCTTTTTCATCTGCTTCACTTTGCGATATAGCTAAAGCTAATTGAAATGCTTCTTCTTCTTCTAATTCGGCTTGACTTTTTGTCTGTAGATAATCAACAATATATTATAAAATAGATAAAAATTATTCGCTTAAAATCATCAGTACCTGTGATGTAACTGTTGGTGCGGAGGTAGCTGAATTTGATGGTTTAAATATTCCTGTAGTTGTTGTGGAAGTGTTTGCCGTCGGATTTGTCATTGATACTCCAAACTCACTAAGGGTTGTATTACTGCAGAAAAGAAATGTATACTTTAGAACTTTTTAAAGAAGTCTTTTGAATAAGAAAAGAACTTGGGAAGAAAAACTCGTTAAAGTTAAAGCCTCACGGAAAACAATGACTAGTACAAGAAAGCATAAACGTTAATAAATCTTGTACCCCATTAGTTTATCGTAGCAAGCTACGCAAACACGCACATCTTTATCTATTCCATATTTGGGAATCGGACATTGTTTAGATGAACCTAAACGAATGATATTCATTACACAGGTATTAATCAACCAAGTCGACATACATGCTTGACAGAATGTCTCTCCACAATTTCGGCAATGATGCTGAAAAAATAAAGATAAGTGGTAAATTCACAGTTGATAAATCAAAGTGGTAAATTTTAGTTACATTTTTTCAACACTTACTTTTCTATTAAACGTTGTAAAATTTGTACGACAACGAAAACATTGATTTGCTTCTTTCCATTCAGGAGCTACTTCACTTTCAAAAAATGCTTCCGATTCTTTTAACGCTGGAAAACGATAACTTTCTAATTTCATCAAATTATAAGTATCTGTAAATATTTGATATTGTTGACCTAAAACGACACACATCAAATAGGAGTGCAAGATCCATTTTGTAATTGTGACTCTTCTTACCAAGTCCATGTGACCAGCATTGAATAAGTTCACACACTTTATCTCGCACTGGTTCTGGCCCATTCTAAATAAGAACATAAACCACCATTGGAGTAAAAGATTAGGTTAATCGTTCACGCTTGCGAAAAGTGAGTTAATGAATCGATAAAAAAAAACATTACATCTTAGACTGACTTTCATTAAGTCGAAGCCGTCTGTGTTAGTAAACTGATCTTCCAAAGGTTTTTTAACGGAAAATAACAATATCAGCTCTTTTTTTGTTGCTTACTTTAGCCAATTCTCTTAATGCATCAACAAAATCTCGATTAGCACATTCTTGATGAATATGTGAGCCACAATTTTTTACAACTGATTCCAAACACTAATAATAATCAAATATTTATGCATGATCTATACACAGCATGCTTCTTTTTATTACTTGTAATGATCTTAATACAACGTGTCCATTGTCACTATTAAACTTCTTTTTGATTGTTTGCACAGTATATTTTGGCCTAAAATAATCAAACAAAAAACATTCATTGAAAAATCGTCTACTGATTTTACTTTCACTTACGTTACTTCACTAGATTTAACAATATCGCACAACTGTAAAACAGCTTCCCAGTCAGGTTCTAATAACAATGGACTTGTTGCTCTATCTGAACAGAAAAAAGCACATCTATTCTAATAAAAAACACAAATTTTTTCTCTGATTCAAGACTCAATAATCGTTTGCTGAAATGGAGCACTTCCGGCATAAACATAATGTGTGGTTTACAAAGTAAGTGAACATTTAGTACTATTTTATTATTTTTAGAAAGAAATCTTATCTGACACAAGTTTCATGCAACATGTTATTTTGACTATCAGATTACGTAAAATTATTGTACCTAATAGTTTATCAAATAATTTCGTATTTGATACAGAAAAAAGACCCATATTTCGCTTTTGATAAATGTGTCTAATTATCAATCTGAAATAAAGAATATATAATAACAGAGGAACTCAAAAAAATGAGATATTTTGTATTTTATTATTTTTTTGACACTTACATATCATATAGCCCTAAAAGGCCTCTTCAGGCTGAAAAAATAGAGAATTTTTTGCTCTATAAAACCTTTTGTATTCGATATTCAATAACAATGCAGACTAATAACTGCTTAGAAGAACAGTGCGACAGAAAAAACAAGTTTTATTTTTTACACAGTATTTAATAATGTTTCTATTAGCTTCAATACAATTGCTTTATGTAGAACATTTATCTTCATCTGATTAATTCTCATCAAAAATTAAAATTTTTTTAGATACTTTTCGTTAGATGATGACTTAACGAGTTAACGAGTTTTCTCCTCTACAGAAATTAGTATACTGTACATTCTCCCATTTTTTTGTATTAATGAATTGTTCGTATCTTTTCGGTCTAGAATAGACTTTTGAAACGGTATGTAATTACTGAAAAGTAATACAAAAAAAGTCACTCTTTATAATTTTGTTATAATTACCGAGAAAAAGATGTGTTAAATTTTTATGTAACGTTGTTCTATGAAAACAAAAATGTTTAATACAATACTTAAAGTGCGTCCGTACAAAAAAAAATGTTTTTTTCAATAAATGTAAAAATTATGCATAAAGAAGACTATACACAAAGTGTATAGGAAAACAAAAAAGAACGAAGAAAAAAGCCAACAAACAATGATTGTAAAACTCTATCTTTATTCTATTCGATAACAACAGTGTCATACCCCAACATAGATGCAGATCAATCACTCACTCACACCGAGATTAACAAATAGCCAACAATGATGAAAAAACCAACACTATACTTCAGTAAATGTGCTTTAACTCTTCTTTTTATATGAGAATATTTTAGAGTGAACAAATTATAATGTGAAAGAATACGTTCTTCGCCTGTTTAATAAAAATATCTGACTAACTATGATGTCACTTTATCTAAGCCGATATTTAACGGATCTTTATAAGCCCAACAAAAACAATAATGATCAAATAATTGTTCTAATAATTCTTTCTCATCTAATCCGCCATCAATTTTATCTAAACGTTGTTTTTCTCTAATATCCACATATTGTTTATAATAATCATTTAGACTAATCAATTGTGCTTGTTGAAAATTTGTATCTATAAATCGTTGACATTGTGTTTGTTTTGATTTACATGCTTGAATTCCTAATAAATGACAACATCGTTGTTTCAAATTATCATACATAATTTGTCCAAAACGATCAAACATATTTATTTGTTCAAAATTTAAAAAAAAACACGTTGAAAATTTTTGTGTAATATAGGATAATAAATTTGTTGAATTTTCTAATGACATGTAAATAAGAACACATTCACTGAGAAAAAATGTTGGTAAATTATAATCGAGATTTTTTTCAATTAATTGTAATTGTTTATCTAACGATGATATTTCACGTAAATCAACAGGCAATATAGTATAAGTAGAAGTGTGTAAACCACCTGGAATTGATATACTCTCTTCTTCTTCATTAATATTTAATTTTTCTGCTAATTGTGGTGTACGACGTATAAGACGTGTTTTTATCTCAGTTATTTGATAAAAATCGATATCAATAAAATGTTTAACATTTAAACTTGGATCATCTTGAAGATTAAAATATGTTGTATCATAGCCACAACCCAAATTAATTATTTGACATTGTTGATTTGTTTGTTGAATAAATTTTTTCAGAAATTTACGAATAGCTGTTACACGAATATAATAGCCAATATTAATTTCAGGTGTTTTACGTTCATGCTTCGTTGTAAAAAATTTCATATATGGATCAGACCAATAGTCACGACTAATAGCATACAGTTTACATGAACTTGAATCAGTGTTTGTCTCAATTATAGCGGTATTATCATTTTCAACTGTATTAGCCATCTGAAAACATGAACTAGTCACGTTAAAAAATAAAGTCCAAACAAAAAAAAAATCACTCAATAATAAACAAAATTTTGGAAAACAAGGTGTTCTCCATCAATTTTGTTGCTCTACACACATCTGTATATTAAGAAAATTCGCTTCTCACCTTCTTGGAAACACAGTATGATAACTGCAAATCACAAACTGTAAAATTTCCTAAGCAAAGTATTAAAATAAGGAAAAATTAAAAATAAACAAATGGTGTAGAATGCAATGGAAAGTGCATTCGACAGCTCTGAAACGCCGTTTCTGGCAGCCACACTAGTAACATATAGCTTTGAGATTAGGACAGAACGATTCTGGCATTTATTATATAAATGGACCATCTTCTTCTATTGCAGTGTATAGTTTTAGAGGTGGCGGAACCATGGAGACCGTAGGTGCCTCGGCACTCACAGATTTTGAAAATTTTCGTTTTTTTCTAGCAGAAACTATTTTTTTCTTTGCGTTCTTGTCCTTGAGCATTCATAGTTTCAGAATCATTCCGACACCTCTGTATAATTTGATAAAAACAAGGCTCGAAGATAGCGTGAGTATTATGGATATTAGGATATCGACAACATACGAATACATTTTGAATAATTATATTATTCAATTTTTTCAACATTTAATTAATTTTTTCTGGCATTTACACTTTCAATTGAATTAATTCTACATTAATATTTTTTTGTAATATCTGATTGTGCTATTTGCATTAAATAAATGGACTAGATACCGATAGAACTGCCACAATTCTAAGGATTAATCGTGATTTGTTAACAATTATTTGCAGAATCGTAATTTTAGAAAATCGAAAAAGAGTGCTGATTAGAAAACGTCAATGACTTCATGATAAGCTGTAAAATCAAAACAAAAGCAACTGTATTAACTTATTAAAAAGAGTTATCCTAGATGCTAATTGGTTTACCACTGGGAAAAACACCCGATCCAACATGCGAATAAGGTGTTGCGATTACAAGTACTCAAAATTCGAAAGCGACAAGAAATCGTAAAGAAAACAGTGAATCAAGCTTTATAATGATCAGCGTACAAAGCAGTAAGTGAATAACACTCCGACTGACCGGTTTGTATAAAAAAAGCTGAAAATGTTCACATAAACAGTTATTTGGTAAGACTGAATCCATTCATGGAAGGAAGCACTTTTTGTTTCAGATTACTTTGCATTGAGATCTGACCGATTGTCCAGCTGCTAATTGAAATATCACGAAACTGAGCGTGCCTGATTCATCCACAGCGATGTGACACGCTTCTCAGCTTTTCTCCTCTCAACTTAATTTAAAACCAAGAAAAGCGCAAAATACTAATTTTTCGGCTGAAGGACAAGACTAGCTAGTTTTCCATAGTTTCATTATTAAATCAGTCCTTCTCATATGTATATCATAGACATACTCAAGATTTCGACTTCAAAACCTTCCACAGCCTGATAGAAAACTGGTAAAAAAGTGGTTCTGTGATAGGTATGTACAGCAGCTATTTGACAACATCTTCGTCTTAATGAGACGCAAATTTTAACTTTATTCGATTCTGAGAGTAATTTTTCTCAACTTTTATGAAAAAGTACTCTTTCCTAAAACTTTTTATTTTTTCGAAGATTTTTCTCTCCAATCTTTTCCTGCGTTTTTTCACTTGTTCGGGCTTACGGTAAAGACGAAAGAACTTTGGTGCTCATTTCTATTTTTAAGCGATTAAACATTACTGTTTATTAATTATTGTAAACCAGTTGAATTCTCTGAAGCCATATCTACACTATGAAACACAAATTCACTTACGCACGCATGTTTTAGAATGAGTTATGAACAAATCGTCTATTGGCTCACAGTATTGATCAATAAAGCAGTCAACATAAAATCCCGACTGTCAACATATTTTCCGTTTGAAAGGAGTTGACAGTCGCGATTATTGACAGAAAAATTATTTTGACCCAGTAAGTATCATATTTCAATCTTCTTTTTGATTGTGTGAAATTCTTTCAAGAAATTAGAACTCTTGTATCGGACCCTGTGCAGCAACTTATGACATTAAATAAAAAATAATAATGATGTATCGAGGCATATCTAACGTTGCTTTATTGTGGATGGCGTTGGCTAGAGCTACCTCAGCGACACAATTTATGATCACTTGTCGTTTCTTATGACTGTTGCTCATGAATTTTTAGAAAGGCGAAACATGCACAAAGAAGATTTGCATTTCAGAGCAAGTGCTCTCTTCTCACGATATACCAGCTGTGGTTTGAGTTAGTACACTATAGACTGAATTGTGCAGGAAATTGAAAAACGGAATTTAGACAAAACTCTAAAAGGAAATATTAAAAAGAGTATCCGGATTCACTGAATGCGAATAAGAAACCTTAATTTTTATAAGGTGTGGTTTAGGTTTGATCAGGGATCATTTCATCAGTATTTCTGAGTAACTCTGTAATTCAAGTGATCGAGTACGCCTTCGTTTTGACTTGAGGTTATGTTAATTCCATGAAATGTGATCATAAGTTAAGCATTGATTTAAGATATTTCCGAAGCTGACTCAAATTAGTGATAAAAAACGAAATATTAGAATAATTTAAACGTAGATTTAAGTCTGTGCGTTTTCTAAGACCATTGATGAAACGTTTCAGTTATTCTGCATTATAGACAGAAGATTAATGCATTCTGGCTATCATACATCTACCGTGTCTTCTCCAAATCGTGCCGTGCCCGGTTTAGGCTTCGATACCAATTATTTATATCTTAATCAACTAGGACCAACTGCAAATATGCCAAGTGGAAATCGACAATATGCGTTTCAAAAACGTAATGAACGTGTGGATTGGCGTCGAATAGGTAAACACATTTCTCATTAATATCATTCTGTTGCATTTATTTAATTGTATTCTTTTAGCTGCATTCGATGTTGATCGTATTGCGCGTGAGATGGATTTTCAAGCTTTACAAGAAAACCTGGAACAAATAACACTATGTAATATTGATGCCGAAGTGGTGAGTAATTGTTGTTGGTGAACATTATCCATCTGATTACTACTGTGTGCACTTCAGATCATAGAATTATTCCAGTAGAATAACTAAAGAAGATCTTGCCTTTTTGAAGGAAACAGAAAATAATTCATTTAAATTCTTTTTAGTTCGAGACTGTGAATCCCTAACTCTCAACATTTGAAATGTATTTTTTATCATTTTTTTCTGTAGAATACACGCGCAATCGATCCAAATTTTGTTAAATTATTCAAAATGGCACAAATGACAATTGAATATCTTCTGGTATGTGCTATTCTTATCATCAAATAAAAATTACAACCAAATATATCTAATAATCTAATGTGAAATATTTACTTAAAACGATGTCTGTCATTGTCGTCATTTTCAAGTACAATTAGACTTTTGATCATTCACTATTTCTATTTGATATTAATTTTTAGAGTTCAACACCATTTACCTTAGAAAAACTAAAATTATGGTTCTTGTTTTTAGTTGTGTCAAGACCAAATTTCAGCACAATTAGGTGAAGTTGATCAGATAAAAAGCAAAGGTTTTCTAGTATGTTAAAATATATATTATCATTTGTGAGTTAGTTAAATTTTACACTATCAATTTCAATAGGACAGTGAAGACGCTAAACGTCAAATTGAAAAATTGAAAATCGAATTAAATGATGTTAAAAAAGAATCGAAAAAACGTCGAAGAATGTTAGAAACACAACAAAATATGTTAGCAGCTCAAAATTATAATTATCATGTTGTAAGTAGTGATATTTAATATTAACATCTAACGTTTAATAAAGTTTTATTTGTTTTTTTTTGGTTTTAGTGTCCAGTATGTTCAAGAGCATTTTTAAATTCTTCGTTCCTTCAGGCACATATAGAACGTCGTCACGCAGGTGTAAATATTAAAAAACGAGAACATGATATTGATTTTGAAAATGAATTACAACGTTTGAAAGAACAAATAAATAAAAAAGAACAAGAACTATTGTTGCTCAGAGTTTCGAAAGTAAGTACAGAGATAAAATTTTGAAGTCAACGAAGCCTACAATAGAATCTTATCTGATCTTATGCGATCTCACTGTAAGATTCGATAGTATCCTGTATAATTAGATATGATATCATAAGATTTTTTGTTGATGAGTACTCTATTACCGGATCTACTTGATCGCGATGCAATGCACTGTTCCGTATATAAAGTATATAATTTTCTCCTATTATTTTTCAGTGTTCGTCAATAATTTCGTATCTCTATGTGGACACTTACAGTTTATAATTACGACAGTAGCAAAGACAATATTAATTCGGACTCTCTAAGTTGAAGAAGATACAGCAACTCGCGTCCTACTACTTAGCATCAAAATATTTTTCGTACTTATATTGATAAAGAAATAAAAGCAATCAAAAAATAATTTCTTATACAGTTATTCACTTTTTGTATAGTAAAAATTATTGATCAAAAAGACGAGTTTTCTCGATTAATCGAGACAATAAATGTAACATTAAAAAACATTTTAATCAGTGAATATTAGAAAAATATAAACTAGGTCTCGCAATATGATTCTCTTATTTAGGAGTTTCTGAGCCTGCAGTAGGATTTCTATTGCAGGCTCATGTAGGATTCTGATGATAGAATCCTTCAAGAAATATACTAACTTAAATAATAATTACATGAGAGTTTCTTTGATGAGATTTTACTAGATGCTGCAGCGGAAGTCCTACCATTTCCTATGTTTTTGTTTTTCATACGATCTTGTAGGATTTATGCAAGATTGTCTGACCTAGTTTGCTGCATTCACTATGCTTTAGATATGACAAGTCACTTTCTTAGAGTGTCTGATGTACGTTGATCTTGTTGTCTCTTTAATTTTGCTGTAGGGTTATAAATGAAGAATCGTTTTGCATACACCTCATCCGATCTTGGTATATATAAAATCGTAAAGGACTATCTTTAGAGTTTATAATTATTTTGTTACAACTACGTGATATTCTTCATAAATAATTTTTTTATTTAGAAAAGCGACGAAGAACGATTGAAAGACAAAGACAATACAATACAACGACTAAATGTACCCGTTAATAACCGTTGAAAATGACTATAATCAGTCTTTGATTAAACATTTTTTTTTCTATTGATGCACACAGGATGAAATTCAAGCAGCTCAAAAGAAATTGGAAGAGTTAAACGAAAAATATCTAACATTACGTACGGTAAGTAATGAATTTCTGTTTTTTATGTTCACTACTATTATCACCTTTATGTTGGCAATAGAGTGGACATGGTTCACCTCAACATCGCGAAGCTGGTGTAACAGAATTAATAAAAGAAAATAAAAGTTTACAAGCAGAAATTGACAGCTTGGTAAAATCGAATATTGAAAAAAAAACAAATTAGATTGTTGATCAGATGTATTTCATTTGTTTCAGAAACAAACGATACAACAAATGGGATTAAATCATAAGAAACAAGAAGAAAAACTAATTCAAAAACATCAGCGTGAAATTGAGAATGTAAGGTGATTTTGTTTGAAATTATTAAACGTTCAAGATTTAGTAAAATTTTTCTATTTATTCATTCTTTTTCTTTTCAGTATAAAAAAACCATCAAAGATTTGAACGATACAATTAATATGCTTAAAAATTCACAAGGTAGCGATTCAAGTGGTTTAATTGATAAGCTGACTAAAGTTGAAAATGTAAGTTCAATTTTGATAGTTGATTGATATTCTATATACAGTTTTATTTCTTATTGATTAGCACTATCATGATGAACGTTTACGTCGAAAAGAATTGGAAGATAAACTAAAAGAAGCTGATTATGAATTATCACAATTAAAAAATCGTCCACCACCTATGGTCACTGAACGAAAAATCATCTCGCCTACACCAACGCTCATATCAAGAAATCGTTCACCAACACCATCACTACAACCACAACAACAGAGAGACGACATACGTTCAAAAAAAACAACTATTGAATTATATTTACGACGATATTGTGATGGATTAGTTAAAAAGCTAGAAGAAAATCCAATGTATTTGCATAATTTTCGAGACGATGCGCGCAAACAATTTATCGACGAATTAGAAGATAAAGTATATTTGGGCATATTGGAGGTACTATGTAGACATTTTCATACCAAAAAACTTGATTAATAATGTTTATTTATTAATTTAAGACTGATACTTGTCTTAGTGATCTCGATTACAAAATGAAAATGAAACGTGTATTCAATACAAGAGTGACTATTCGTCAAGTAAGTATTGTTTTCATAAGTGAAAATAAAATTTTTAGCTTAATTTATCGTTGTTTAATCAAGGAATTGCCCAGATTTGATAGTATACGTGATGATATAAGTTCATTACTTGATAAATATGTTTCTGAACGAATGGAAATAAATCGTACAGGAAATTTAAGTATGCGTTCATCCGGTGGCAAACTAGTAACGTTCGAAGGTGGAAGCCGACAAAATCATCCACAGTCGTATATACCATCAATAAACACAACATCCGTTCAACAAAAAGATGGCGTAGATGATTCTTCATATCATCAACATCGTTTAACGTCAACACTAGCTACTGTTCAACCAAAAATAAGATATGATCACAGTAAGCCACCAATTCAACAATCCTCTTCGACTGTTAGTAAAATTGTACGTAATTTAAATACGTACAACGAATCTCAAGAAGATGACGTTACTCTTTCGAATGCTACTGAAAGTAATGACGGAGATACCTCGCCAACACGTCCTAGTATCGATAGACAACCATCTCCAAGAAAAAACGTTACTACTGTTAGTCATCCAACTATCAGCTCTTTGGTGACGTCGAATATGAGACCATCAACAACTAGAGAGCGTGCACATAAGTCAGAATCAAATAATTGGCAATCGGATAGGTAATACTATTTCAGTCAGCATGTAACCTGACTTCTTTTATAACCAAAATTCTTTTAGTGATAGTGAGAGTTCAAGACCAACAACAGGTATAACAAATAAAACAAAAATTATTGAGAAACATCTGAAAGATTCACGTTCAAATGGACAAAAACCACTCGTAAATACAGCTGCTATTAGTCTTCGGACCAATAGTCAAACATTAGCCACACAGGTTGTTTGAATAAATCATTTTTTCAGTATAATTTTGTTAGTTTTATCATCTTATTCTTTAGAATGATGATAGTAGTGATTCATCTTTAACAACACTTAGTAGAACAGATCAAAATCGTGTTGGTGATAGAAATGGTGGGCATTTACCAAAAATATCGTAAGTCTTATTTTTAATATTCAAGAAGTGGAGCTATGTGAATTAATCTTCTATGAATGAATCGTAAGAATATTCTTGGCTAATGGGAAAACATCTTGTCTAGTATGTGTGATTAGTTAAAATTGTTTTTAGACAACATTCTGTGAACGCACGTAAGAACAATATGCTTTAACTAATTCACAGTTAATAAACCAGAACAATATCTAGTTATTTGCACTAACATTCGTATCTTATTGATAGTTCTTAGTTTTATTATTTTATCTTTTTTTCTTTTTGGCACAATTTATGTGTTAGAGTATGTTCAGTGTTTATTCTTTTAAAAATCTTTGAATGTGTTGTCTTGTTGTATGTGCTCTTTTGTGATAGTATAATCATTAAAGTCAAAAATAATTTTTACAGCGAAAATAATCATGCTCATTTCTCCCATGAAAACCGAAACACGTTTATCTCTGTTCACAAGTCATTGCAAACATTATTAACGATAAAAAATGAAAGTTATTTTCAAATCAGTTCGATTTTTTGCAATAAAAATTCTCTCATTTTTATCTATTTTCAATGGAAACTGTCAACCATCGCATTAGAATCACTATTCATTTTTAGATTAACTAGAAGAAATACACAGCTTTACGAAATATGTTATTTAAGTCGAAAATATAAAAATACTAGATAGTTTCAAATACTGATGTTAAATCGAACAATACATCTAATGAGGCATTTCGCTGTCTAAATACCAGATTTGAATATGCAGAATTGTATAGAATGTTAGATTGCTCAAAGGCTGCAATTTTGACACATAGTCGATCGTTGTTTGAATTTCTAAGTATTTTTAACAATACATTGCAATCGATACCGAATTCAAGGAAAATTTTTTATTTCATTAATAAATGTTCAATAATCATAATACTTATAAACGGCTTCTTCATGATTGAGACTACTTTTTTTATGCTCATTAATTAGATTTAAAAAGTGGAGTTTGGATTAGAGAGTTTGTTCTTTTCACATACTTTGTACAGTGTTTGTAGTTTGGAATGCACAATACATATACTGTAATCTTGAATTAATTTCTAGTTTATGAAAGATCGACTCAAAATTCGCCGAAGAATTTCCAGTTTATAGAAATTCCTTGAGGAATCTCCGACTTTATAGAAATTATTGAATTTCTACTTTCTAGAAAATCGATCGAATTTCTATAAATAATTCCACAGAATCTGCAAATTAGTTTTTTGATTTTCTAGAAACTGGAAATTCTCCCAGAAATTCTAGATCAACTACTTATTCACCTATTTGTTTTGCAATCAGTGTAGGTATAAGAGTGTCATGTAAAGACGCTCATATTACACTTAAATCAACTTTGACAGTTTCCACTTTAAATCACAATTCTTCCTATGCCAAAGAGAATTTTAATTTAGGCAGAGAGAGTGGCGGCGCGAAGGCGTAGTTTCGGTAGGAAGGTTCCCAAAATCGGAGAAATCCACCAGAAATTTCTCAAAAGCATGACGGGGTGGAATCAACCCCAATACAATCTGATCGCGCCGTCACTCGGTGCAGACTCGCCAAGGAATTTTCAGTTTATAGAAAATCGAAAGCCGAATTTCCATAAATAAATTCTAAGCCATTGGAAATTCGGTGAGGAATTTCTCTGAACTGGAATTTCGATTTTCTATAAACTAGGAAATGCTGAGGACTTTATATATGGATTCTTTGAAATTCGCCGAGCATTTTCTATAAATAATTTCCAACTTTACAGTGTATATCATAACAGCCATACTTTAGGTTCATACTCATCATCATCTTTAAAATTAAAATCATTATCCAACAGAACTATGCAGCAGTTATATTAATGATATATAATAATATTGATTAGGATGGTATATTATAAATATACCTGAATTTTTAATGTAGAGTCGTAGACATGATAGAATTCGTGGAAGAAATCGAACTGAGATGTTGTGTTTCAAGTAATGCTACTCTTCATTTTTATAGTCCCATCCGATTCAGTAATGTCATTCTCAGCTCAATTTAGTTTTAAGCATCAGTTTTGAAAAACATTCACTCGGTTCAGTGTCTACAGTAGCCAATCATTCCTAATTAAAGAGTGATTTGAAATTATAAACAGTATGCAAAGTATGTGAAAAAAAACAAAGTCTCTATTCCAAATTGAGACCATATTTTATTTCTATAGGAAACGAGAGAATTCCAACTTGAGATCACTTTTACCACTGTAAAATTTTCACTTCTAAATTGAGCCCACTTTTTAAGTCTAATTAATGAACATAAAAAAAAGTGTTCTCAACCATGAAGTCTCGCTTTCAAAATATACGTAAGTTCGTCTCGTCTAAAAGTCTGCTTGTGTAAATCTGGTTCAAAACGTACACGAATGAGCCATTTATAGAGTCAGATCAGTGTTGAAGTTACTATTTTCTTATCAGTAGTGTTCATATTCATCTTAATACGAAAGAATCTAGTTATATTAGCTATAGTTGTAGACGACAAATTAGCTCAATAGTTAGATTTTACACAATGATTAAGTTTAACTGTTATTAAATTTATTCAAAAATATTCTTTCAGTGGTCGGGAAGGTGAACACCAAATGACTACAAACAATCCCTTTAATTCGTCAGCTGATATGTCACATAACACGTACGATGATCTATGGAAATCTCTGCAGAAAGCAGATAAAGGTATCTATTTCAACTCATTCTGTTCTGTTTCTGTATTAGAGTACTGGTTTTAGGCGCAGAACGTCGACCACCAACGGCTGATAGTGCAAAAACATCTAACATTGGCTCTGATGTCGATAATCTTGATGCTGAAGATTATTAGATTAGTTGATTGTTTGTTTTTTTAAATGAGAGTTTTATCTCACTTTCTATTTTCTGCTGTGCATGTAAATTCTTTTCTTTTCTTTATTAATGTTGTGTTTGATTTAATGCTATTTCATGGTTTTCTAAACTAGTTTTATTAATTGTCTAAATATCGATTTTTGTGGGTAATGTTACAATACTTGACATAAAGTTAGATAATGTGTTTTTGATACTCATATTTGTTTATTTGTGCGCATTTATGCCATCTGTTTATTTCGCTTTTATATAGTTATTCTTGATATTTTATTTGAAAATAATATAGAAGTTTTCTTCTTCCAATTTGAATTTCGTTTAAAACGATTAATCATTTTTTATCCAATAAATAGTGTCAATTTTAAGATCAAATCTTTTCCTATGGTGCAGTGTTGGTTCTATAGTTAGCTGTGTGTAGAGTGCTCATAATCTATCATCAATGTATTTACACCACATATATCTTTTTTTTGATATTTTTATTATTTCGAACTTGTCTAAAGAAAGTTTCTATAGCCCGACATCTGCCCTAAAGTTGACAAGATTCTTTCATAGTCACCTATATCATAAAATACACTTACTATCTACATACTAGCTCGTTAGCCACGAAGGCTAACTAGAGCAACTGTATTTCGGATCATTTCATAGTACCTATGGTATTGGACGGGTGTCCAGAGGCACTATCATGTAACTTGGGTGACTTGGATGTACTTCGAACACAATACATATGAAGTGCAAGTCAAACGACATAATCACCAAGCCATGCTGATCAGCATGCTAATGAATTCTTTACCATCCAAGGACTATTTTGATGCCCTGTTCATCACTTTTCAAAAAGACAGATCGTGGTGATGGTATAACTAAAACTATTTTAGCTATTTTTATAACGTACAAATTATCTGAAAAGAAAATGAAATTTTAATGTGCCATGAATCTCGTACTATTGAATCGTCATATTCATCTGTTATGGTTTCTTCTTTTTTTTAATGAATATTTTTAAAAATTAATTAAATGATTTTCAACACAGGGAGAACAACTTCGATAACATCTTACACTGCATTGATCATAATATTAAGAGTAGAGTTAAATGAAGGGAAGCTATGAAAACAAAAATCTAAGTAATTATAAAATCTATCATTTTTCAAGATTAAACGCTGACGTTTATTATCTGATGATCGTCGAAAAACCAAGATCATTTTCATATTGTGTTAATGGCATTAGAACCATATTTGGAATTACGATCGTTACAATCAAAAGTGACTGTATTAGGCAATAATCCAGTAAAACGTGAATTAGTATTGGGTTTTGAAGATGGATCAGTTCAAACGTTTGATCCTGAAACAGGTATAATCTTGATTTTATGATAGATATTTAGATTATAATATTTGTTTCTCTAATTATACTCACATCTTCTTTTTCTAGGTAGTCTCGTGACAGATTGTTATAGACATAAAGGATGGGTTACAGCATTAGCCTCATTACCAGAAGCAAAAGTATTTTTTTCAACTGGAAACGATTCTACCCTGGTTACATATAATGGTACGTATACATATGGCATTATTTAATTATTTGTATAATTAATTCGTTCAAGTATATGAAAAAACTACAAATGAAGATCATAAAATGTTTTGTTTTTTCTAGCTATTGGATCAGTTGTTGATAAACTACATATCGGTACTGTCGCCTATGCAATTTGTTTCCATTCTCGTTTAAAACAAATTATATTTGGCATTACAGATGGTAAAATAGCATAATTTAATAAAGTTTTGGTTAATATTTGTGTGTATTGTTAGGTATTCAATTTCATGAATATGAATTAAATAATATAAATGGTCAGATAGTCAAAAATATCCCATTGTACATTATTTGTCAACATGAAGATATTGTTGTTGGTGTTCTAATGTTAGATAAATTATACAGTGTTGGTTTTGATGGAAAATTGATTATCTATGATTGTCCATTTGGTGATAGTCCACACGTATCGAAACAACTTGATCATGCACATGATGCTGGTATAACATGTTTAATAGCACAAAAAGATGCCTTTGATAATAATGAATGGTTAATGACAGGAAGTTTTGATAAAACAGCAAAAGTATGGAGTTTAGATGGTAAATTAATCTTTAAATTTGTCGATTTTACACAACCAGTAACCGGATTAACTTATGTACACTCAACAAAAACTGTTTGGATAGGTAAATGTATTTTTCATATATTTCAATTTAAAGATAAAGAGAAAAGTCTGTTTTTCAGTTGCTGGTAATAGCTATGCACACGTTTACGATCCAAAATCGGGAGAGAATGTATCAAACTTTATTGGTAAGAGAATGGTATCATCCATCATTAAAAAATATTTATTAAATAATTCAATTATTTTACATCCTAATAATTCATTTTCTAGATACGTTTATTAATATGGAAGACACTGAACAACGCTATGCTTATTTTTTAATTTTAATACGTTATTTTCCCGAATTAAATGCTTTGGTAGCATCAACAAATTTGAAACATTGTCTTGCATGGCGTTACAATAATAGTGGTTGTATATCGTGTTTAAAAGTAAAATCATCATTAGAAAGTGTTTGTTATACAAAAAAGGCACCAATATTAGTAAGAAATTATTAGCATAGTTATTTGTCTATAGATTTATGTTACTAACTTATTTTCTCCATCTATTAGATGTTCACTGGTGATTCGGACGGAAATGTATTAAAATGGGAACAAATGCAATCGAATTTAATTATGTATTCAAGTGAACGTTTATTAAAATTTGAAGCAACAAAAGCACAATTAATGGCCATGGTTGTTCAAGCAGCATCAATCGGTGGAGATAATGAAAAAGATGAACGATTCGATGGTGTACAAAGTCGTCCATCAACATCAACAGCTCAACAACGAAGTACATCGGCTAAAAGTCGTAAATCATCGGAACGTCAATTGCCAGCTTACTATGTACGAAGTCGTTCAGCTGCAAAAATAAGAAATCGTGAACAAGGCATCGGTGGTTACGTATCTCAATATGCTCATTTACAAAAAAGAGAAACAACATCAAGTCGAACACCGTCAAAATCAATTTTAAAAATAATATTTGTAGAAAAATATGATTTAATTGTAGCCGCTAGTGAAGATGCAAATATTTACATATGGGGTTACGATTTAGAGGCACTTCGTGCATTAACAACACTACGTGATCAATTAGATGATACAAATGAAGGTAAAATATTTTAATTTTTCACAAAATTATTATTTATCAATGGTTTATTTGTTTCTTTAAGGTACCGAGGTAACAAATCGGGTATGTGGTTTTACATTACGAAGAGTATTTAGTCAACATAATTCATTGGTGACATCATTGGCATTAATTGATGATGTTGAAACATTTGGAGACGTGTTTCTATTAAGTGCTGGTTGGGATCGTCGAATATGCACATGGAATTTAACTCATTATACATTGAGTAGTATATTCTATAATTCAAATGCTACAACTGTTGAAGAAGCTGAATTAGCTAGTTCGGGCAGTATATTAGATTTAGCCTATAGTCCATTTCTAAAATATTTTGCTTATTCAACAAGCGATCAATCGGTTTATGTACGAAAATTTTCAGTAAAAGGATATGATATGCAATTGATGTACGTATTGAAATCCCATCAAGATATTGAAGTAACGTGTGTTCGATGGAATTATATAACAAATCAGTGGGTAACAGGATGTGAAGATGGTTCAATTCGACTATGGGTAAAAATATTTTAAATTAAATACTGTATAATATGAATAATTTATTTTTCACTTTTTCTACAGGATGCAACAGGAGAATTTAAACATGCAATAAATGTTCGAGGAAGTGTTCATGCGATTGCAATTGATCATGTTCAAAAAGCATTATTAATCAGTGCTCAAGATACATTAAAAGTCTATGAAATGGAAGAGTATACATGTGTACAAACAAATACCGGACATTCTGATATAATACGGTAAGATTTTGTTTAATAAAACATTAGAGAATAGAATGTATTCTAACGGTTTGAATGTTAGTAAAAGAAATTCTTTGTAATTTAACGTTTTAGTGATGTTGTATTTATTCCTGAGCGTAATCAATATGTTACAGTTTCATGGGATAAAACAATGCGTATATGGAATGCTTGGAGTCCTGCACCATTAAAACGACAAGTGAAAGTTGTTGATCCTAAAACAAAATTTACTCAACAATTATGGGAAGAAATTCGAGGATGTGTAAAAAAACCAATTGAAGTAGAAGATGCTAATACTATTGTTGAAAAATATTTTCAAAGACATCAATCAACTTATCCTAACAGTGAAGACCAATCACGTCAAGTATCATTCATTACACAATGAAATCTATTATTTTTAGCATCAAATGATTAGAATTTACAAGTCATAGAAATTTCAATTTATAATAACTCAGGATATTTTCTATACTTTTAAAAGCTTCACAGTATTATTTTATTTATTTTTATTTGTTTTCACAGTATTAATAATTGTTTTGCACCTATATTTTTGTGTGATGCAATTTTTATGAACTACGTTGACTTTCTTTTGTTTATATTTCTTTCAACACCAATTAATTTTTTATACTCAGACATAGAAATCTCAAAAATTCATTTTTTCTCACAGATATCCCGTTTTATTTATTTTTTCATTTTGTGTATTATGCGATATATCATTATCAATCAATTTATGCATTCTATCATATTCATTTAATGAAACAGTGACACTTTTTTGTATAACAAACACTTTCTAATGATGATTTTACTTTTAAACACGATATACAACCACTATTATTGTAACGCC